AAGCGAATTAAAACACCAAGGTCCCGTGGTTTTGCTGGAATTGTGTCAACTCATAATGGCAACAATGGGTTAGAAGAATGCTGCTCAATAGAAGTAGAATGTAATTTTAAATTTTCCAAAATTTCGAATTGCCACATTCAAAAATGAAAAAAGTGACATTAATTTTAATAATAATTTTACTTAGCCAATGTATCAAAAAATTTTCAACATAAGATCAATATACAACAGTCATTAAATATTTGACATTTTATTTTTTTTTAATATATATTATTGATTTTTCACAGAGAGGAAGGGAGAGAGATATAGTGTTAGAAACATCGATGAGAGAGAAACATTGATCAGCTGCCTCCTGCACACCCCCGACTGGGGATGTGCCCGCAACCAAGGTACATGCCTTTGTCTGGAATCGAACCTGAGACCCTTCAGTCCGCAGACTGATGACGCTCTATCCAGTGAGCCAAACCGGTTTTGGCAAATATTTGACATTTTAAACTGTCTTCCAAACCCAGTGCATTTTTAATATTCATAGCACATCTCAGTTAATATGCTAAATTGTCATTGGAAATAGCTTATTCCCATTTAGATTTCACAAAATTTATAGTTAAGAAAAATTCACATACCAAAGTTGTTCCAAACATACTTAAAATTTTCTAACCACTGAATCCAGTATCAGTTTTTAAAATGAAATCCATTAAAGAAAAAAATAATTGCGTTCCTCAGTCACACTGGCCATATTTCAGTGTGTGGCCAGTGGATGCCATGCTGGACAGCATGGGGTTAGAAGCTCTGACTGGCAGTTAGAGATGTCTGATTAATAAAATAGGAAGATGAATGGCTACTTTTAAAAGCATACCTCAGTTTTGCCGAAACCGGTTTGGCTCAGTGGTAGAGCGTCGGTCTGCGGACTGAAAGGTCCCAGGTTCGATTCCGGTCAAGGGCATGTACCTTGGTTGCGGGCACATCCCCGGTAGAGGGTGTGCAAGAGGCAACTGGTCGATGTTTCTCTCTCATCGACGTTTCTAGCTCTCTATCTCTCTCTCTTCCTCTCTGTAAAAAATCAATAAAATATATTTTAAAAAATAATAATAAAAAATAAAAGCATACCTCCGTTTTATTAAAATACAGTCTACTGGGGAAATGGACAAAAGGGATCCTTCGGAATAAAATTTAAAAAAGCCTCGAGAGTAATTTCATTTGGCAGCTCAAGGAAAGCTTTGCTACCAGTTCCCCGTTCCTTGTTTTCTTTCCTTTACCTTTAGGGATACTGGAAAGAACTCACCTTCCCCATTTCGATCTCCATGCAGGCCATAACAATGATCTGGGGGAGGAAAGAGATAGAAATTTGACTGTTGCTATAGTTAGAAAGAGCGGTAAATACTTGGGTCCCAGGCCAGGAAGTGTTCATTATGCTTTTCTGTTATTTTTTAAATGTATTTATTTCTTTTTTAGAGAGAGAGTAGGGCAAAAGATTGAGAAGTAGAAACACTGATAAGAGAGAATCATCTATCGGCTGTCTTCTGCAAGCTCCCTACTGGGGATCAAGCTCACCATCTGGGCCTGTGCTCTGACCGGGAATTGAACTGGTGACTTCTTGGTTCATGGATTGGCACTCAATCACTGAGCCACACGGGCTGAGCTTCTGTTTTTTGTTTTGTTTGTTGGTTTGTTTTTATCCAAAAAAGAAATCTTAATCAATGACAAGCTGTTGATCCTACCCATCCTTCTTTCTGTCCCCACTTCCCTTTTCTCTAGTCAAATCAGCAAATTCTCACTAACAAATGAGCCTGTCAAGATAAGAACTTTCAATTCCTTGAAGAGTGACATTGTGATTTTTGACTAAAAGGTACCGGAGCCCCGAAATTCTAATGCCTGGCCCAAAAAAGCACTATTTTAATACACAGGAAACCTCAATAACATATCCTGATGCTCTCACTCCCTCTGTCCCTAAACATGAGAAAAGATAATAACAAAAATAACTCTGCTTTTACCAAGACACTGTATTCCCAAATCATCCTCCAGAAATCCAGGAGAGTGGTAGGCAAAGGTCCCTGCGTGGCAATGTAAGCCTGGGGTCCATAAACTCCCTAGACGGGAACAGAAATTACATGCGGTGACTGCCAGTAATACCCTTTCGCTCTTGTCTAGTATATTTCCTACCCCAGCCCCTCCTTTTTCAGGAGCCTAGAGAATATGGAGTGTACCTTAATGAAATTGGCATTGATGTAATTGGAATCTTCATCAGAGGTTATTAAGGACAGCTCCACTCGGCTATGATCATCTATAATACAAAAGAAAACCATAGGATCAGCAAGGAGACTTAATCAGAGGGCTTTGTGTAAGTCAGGGACTAACACTGTGAATGGTGGCTTGAAGAAAGAGTGAGTGAATGAGTGAGTGAATGAATGAATGTTCTTTGATGGTCATAAATAGTACAAACTAACTTGTCAAAGCCATGGTCCAGGACTAAAGACAGCAAGCAATGGGTGAAAAGAGACGGGGATAATTGAATTCGGGAGAAGGTACAAGTCTATGGGAGAAATGAAACTCACAGGGCAAGATATCCTTGTATCTGTTCTTCTTTATGTTCCTGGGCCTCTCCGCCACGGTTGAGGGATAGGTTTTGTCTGCCTTATACTTGATGGCGAGTCTTTTCAGCTTCTGTAATAAAATGCCAACAATGAAATCTTCCCAGAGCAAACAGCTGAGGAGCTGTCGCCAGAGAGCTTTGGAAGGAACCAGTTTCCCCACCCTGATGCTGCCTTTTGGGGATATTAATTCGAAGCTGTTTCTTAAGAAGCAAGACTCAAAAAGAAACTTTGGCTCTCCTCCCTTTCCCACCCAAGAGATTCCGACAGAGAAACCCGCTTCAGGAAGGAGATCTTAGGATGTTCCCCTTCGCCTCATCTGAATGAAGTGTGATAAATAGAGGAGGTAGGACCCTGTGTCCTTCGGTTTCTGAGTCGCCCGTTCTCACTTCTGAAATCTAATACCCAGTTCCCCCTGCTTTCTCGTTTGTCCGAAAATGCCTTATATATATCCAATGCTGCCTCATGTTTTTGGAATTTTCATGGAAGTCCCTTGCCTATGTGAATTCCTCATGCACATGTATTACACTTTGATTTTCTCCTGTTAGTCTGTCTTTGTTAATCTGGTTATTAGCCCAGCCTGTAAGAAGTATTGATAATTTTTTCTAGTCCCTGCACTTTCCTTCTCCACTAGCCAAACTCTCCATTTCGGCCCTTTTGGCATCGCAAGGGCTGACCATCCGTGGCAGAGCCCCCGAGCATACAGATGGAGCTCAGAGACTTTTGGAGAAGTGAAATGATCACACTTACTTCAGCTGAGCCACAAATAGCTGAACCTTCGAGGTGAAACTGGTGAGTATTTAACGAAGGGACATCTTCTGAAAACAAACTTTAGGCACCACCCAAAAGGTCAGTTATTATAAGTTTAATTTACTTTCTTTACAGCTACTACAGGGCTATTTTGAGTAGAAATGGAGCTTACACTGAAAAAATCTCTCTAGACCTAGCTAAATTTCAAAGATTCAGTCCCAAAAGCAGTTTTTATATATATATAAAGACTTCAAGCCCAAATGATGACCTTTAAATATATTTTATTGATTTTTCACAGAGAGGAAGAGAGAGGAATGGAGAGTTAGAAACATCGATGAGAGAACCATCGATCAGCTGCCTCCTGCACACCCCACACTGGGGATGTGCCGTACATGCCCTTTATCGGAATCAAACCCGGGACTTTTCAGTCCTCAGGCTGACGCTCTATCCACTGAGCCAAACAGGTTTTGGCTTCTTTAGCTCCATTTATAAATCAATCTTGCACCGAGGTTTAACAGCCTGTCACTCAAAAGGAACAGGCAGGATGGAAAGAAGTCAGGGAAAACTCCAGACAAGTAGAACGAGGAAGTCCTCTCCCCAACGCATGATCAAAGGGAATAGTTTATGGCAGGAAGCTCCTGGCCGCAGAAGTCACCAGTAACAAGTACTGGCTAAACAAGAACTGATCAATCCAAGATGGAAGAAAAACAGACCCGAGAACAACCCGGAAGGCCACTCTACCATCCGATAATGAACACAGACACAGTGAAAGAGGGGCTGAAGAGGACCGATGCCATGAGCCACTTTAGGAATAAGACACCCACTCACCCTCTCCCTCAGCCAGAGGACTGAGTCAGAAGTTCAGAAACAACCCACCCTTGGAAATACACAAAATCCCAAGAACTGACGAGTCCGGCACACAACTTACAAGTTCACCCACGTCCCGTGGAAGTGTGCTTTAGCGTCTTCCTCAGCGGCCCCCTGTGACACCCACAGCCAGCGGGGCAGCAGGCAGCTCGGCTCTCACCCTGTCTCCAGGAGCCTACAACCTAGTCTCTTCTTCTTGCCCTGAGTAACACTTGCTTTTACTCTCCTTTGGACTCGCTCTGAATTATATCCTCTGTGAGTCAAGAGCCTGGAGGTCCCAGACTCTGCAGGGGCAGAGTCAGCCCCCAGCCCCGAACTGGTTCGGTGACAAAACCACATTTAATAGATTTGACTTTGGGGAAGCCTTGCTCAATCTGAGAAAGATGAGGAGGGAAACGTCTGTGGTAGCTAATAAACATTTGTTGGATTTTATTACAGAAAATAGTTATTATGTGCCCACTAATACTTGGTCACATGAAAATCACGAATTACTTCCTATGGTTAGATCCCTCAGCACTCACTGTTTTCATTCTCTTAACTTCCCTCTTGAAATTTCCTCCTCCTGCGGACCTTATTAGTCTACATTACTTTGGTTCTCCTCTTTCTTAAATGACTTCCCCTTCCCATTTCTCACTCTTACTGGCTCTCTGTCCATTTTCATCTTTTTAATATATATTTTATTGATTTTGTACAGAAAGGAAGGGAGAGAGATAAGAGAGTCAGAAACATCGATGAGAGAGTCATCGATCAGCTGCTTCTTGCACACCCCCCACTGGGGATATGCCCGCAACCAAGGTACATGCCCTTGATCGGAATCAAACCCGGGACCCTTCAGTCCCCAAGCCAATGCTCTATCCATTGAGCCAAACCGGTCTTGGCCATTTTCATCTTTTTAATTGTGAATTATCCCAAGTTCTCAAGTTAAGTCCTCAACTCTCTGCTCTTCTCTCACCATATACATATGCTCGGAAATATCATATACTCTTATAGAAGGCATAGCAATGTTTTTAAAATTTGTATGTAACTGGTCAAAATTGAATTATACTTCCAACCCCTATTGAATGTCTCAAATTTATATACTGGGATTAGATTACTAAATTTCCATCCCACCCATGTCCTAGACATTTCCACTTGAGTAACTCATCATCGTTGTTCTCACTGGTAATGCCAGTGGCACTGTCTTTATCCCAAGTAGCCATAGTCTAGAAGCTGAGAGTCACTTTGGTTCACCCCTCCCCACAATTCCCACTTTTAATTCAGTCTGCAAGTTCAACTGATTCTTTCCATGCAATATCTTGCATCAACCTTCCTTCCTATGCCCACTGTACATACCTTAATTCAGGCCCACTCCCTTCAAGGTTGAACTGTTAGTAGATGTTTCTTAATTCATCCTCCCACTTTTCTGTCCTTCCCCATTGAAATCCAGTAGGGATGATTATGCCAAAATAATATTACCAAAATATTGCTTTCTGTATCTCTCTCATGCTCAAAACAACGTCAGCAAATCTCCCTGTACTAGCTGGGCGACGGGAACCAGAGCGGGGCTCTCTCCGGATCTCCTGGAGGTAGGTCCTCAGTGCCTTTCAGCTGCAGGTCAAGGTCAGCATCATCTCTCCCGAGCGCCCACAGCACTGAGAAAGCGTGAGTGTGAGCGGAGGGAATGAGGCGCGGGCCTCTGAATCCGGCAGACAGGACTGAGCAGGAAGGGAGGGCGACACTGACCCGGCCCTGAGGGGCCCAGCTATGTGCAAGGATGGATTTCATCAATATAAGGAGAGAGGAGAAAGGCCTAAAAAGAAACAACATGTTTTCATTTACATAAAAGTCACAAGCCGGTAAGATGCATGTCTAATTGTTTCGTGAGATACAAATGGGTCTTGTGCCGTGCGACACCACAGAACAAAAACGACCTCAGCACCGTGTGTACCTGCAGGCTGGGGCAGTTGGGGGCGATGAGGATCTGGAAAGACACCCCTGGGGTGCCTGGGGTGTGACACTGTTCTGCTCCTTGATCTCAGTGGTGCTGATGTGGCTGCCTGTCTCATTACCAGCTGTTAAGTTGTGGATGTGGATGTGTGTTGGAAGCACGTTTCTATATATGTGTTAGATGCTGCAGTTTTTAAGTTAAGACCAGTGGGTAAACTTGAATCAACGGAGTGTGGACGAGGGTGGGGAACTAAGAGCACAGGCTCATAGTTAGAAAGCTTTCAGGTTTCAGAGAATCAGACAAGGTTTCAAATCCTGGCTTTGCCATTTTATGGGTAAAATGAAGCTGATACTTTCCTCTTGGACAGATAGTGATTGAGATTATAAGTGGTAAACCACTTAGATTGCCTCATATATGGTAAGCAGTAAAAAAAAATGTATGTTATTTTTTATAGTTATTAAATTAAAACTAGCAAGGTGGTAGAGAAGACGATACATTCAGATACTGCAAATTAAAAAACCTCTTTTGGAAATACATTTGGCAATACCTAACCAATTAGATGCTAATATTCTTTGATCTAGTAACAGCACGTTGGGGGCTCTCACCTCAAATTCAAAAGAAAGGAAAGCCCACGTGAACAAACGTAGCTACTGCAGTATATCAGTAACCACGAAAAGTTAGAAACAGCCTCGCTGTCCAATAGTAGAGATGTAATTTAATTATTTGGGTGCCTGCTAGGTGTCAGGCGTTTTGTATATTTATTCCAGTACCTTCTCAGAAGCTCTGCAAAGTGAATATTATTTGTTCTCACTTTTTATGACTTTGTTCAAGGTCACACAGGAGACTCTAGGCGGAACAGAAATTCAAACCAAATTTATCCGACTCCAAAGTAGTTACAAGTACAGACGGGAAAGCAAGATGGCCTGAACTCAAAACTCAGTTCAACCACATGCTAGCTGTATGACCCTGAGTGAGTCAATTAACCCTGCTGTGCCTCCGGTTCCTCCTCTATAAAGTGGAAATAGTAACAGTGCCTTCCTCAATGGGTTAAATGAGTTGCTATGTAAGCATTTAGAAAGTTTCCATAGCAGGTACAAAATATTAGCTATTATTAGGATTATTTTTTCATTATTTTTTCATAATGACCTGCTGTGTGAGAGGTCATTAAGGCAGATTTTAATCAACATGGTAATATTGGTGTAATGTTAAGTGAAAATAAGAATAGAAATTTGCATTAATACTCATAAATACAATCATATAAAAGGATAAGAACTAGAATTTCTACACAAACAAAAACCCCAAAACTGTATTTGTTGGGAAGTTGATACTATGGTGAACTTATTTTCTTTTAACTTACAATAATATTATTTTATAAGAACAGCGGCCATGGAGCTTTTTTAAAAAATAAATTGTCAGTAGTGCGGTGGCACACTGCAGTGTCTGCTAGAGAAACGAGGTCACACTGGGGTAGAAACTATACTAACTTACCCTCAGGTCAGGCAGTCCCTTTTAGGGACTCAGTGGTACCGGTTGAAGCAAGATACTAATTTCACAGGCTCTGGAAGGACAGCTCCAGGTTAAATTTCATGTCTATGGCTGAACACTGAGTGAGCTTAGACCAGTGGTCGGCAAACTTCGGCTCTCGAGCCACATGCGGCTCTTTGGCCCCTTGGGTGTGGCTCTTCCACAGAATAACATGAGTGGGAACGCACGTTCAGTGGATTGAAACTTCGTGGCCCATGCGCAGAAGTCAGTTTTCAGCTCTCCAAAGAAATTTCCATCGTTGTCCTGTTGCTCTTTGGCTCTGTTGACTGAGTTTGCCGACCACTGGTTTAGACCAATTACTTAACCTCTCCCAGCCTCAGTCTCCATGTCCGTTACTCAGAGATTATAATCAGCTCATAGAGGGGTTTTGGGGTGTGTGTGTGTGTGTGTGTGTGTGAAGTGTAGTAAATAAGATAATGAATGTAATGCTTCCTTGACACCCCACCAGCACTAACAAGTTATAACTAAGTATTTTATAGAGGAATCATTGTTTAATGTCTGTCCACTAAGACCTAGGAAACATTGCCACCATCGAGTTGGGAACACCACCCTGCCACGCAGCTTCCGGCACACGCCTTGCACAGTGAGCTCCCGGGAACTGTCTGAATGGCTGCGTGAGAACCTCACAGGAGTGGCCGGGGCAGTTTCAGCCGCAGAAAAGCTACTGGACTTGGTCTTGGTCCCGGGTACCAGACCTGAGCAGCCCTGTGTTGGCTTTTCCGGCCACAGCAGGGCTCCGTGCTCTGACAGAGGCAGCCAGAAAAGGGTCGCAGGGACGAAGTCTAAGCCATGGACCCAGGGGGACCTTGTGTCACAGACTCAGTCCTTAAACCTCAGACACGCCAAATCCTGGAAGAATACATTCAGGGCTTAAGGTGGGATATCTCTCCCTCCCTCCCCCAACTTAAGGGCAGTATTTTCCTTGTCCAAGCAAGCAGTCTGGCCTCATTCTCACTCCCTACCCCCCACACCTCAGCTCTTCCCCTGGTATCTCAGCTGAACCTTTAGGTGGGGCTAAAAGCAAGACTTCGTTTTTCCACTGGAGGACATGAGTCAGTGAACAGCGAGGTTCCACTTAATCACCCCAAACAAGGTCCTTAAATCAGGAGCTAGAAAAGCAAGGAAGTGATTAATGTAAAAGTCAGGGTGGTGATTGTTCCCAGGGCAGGGCAGGTGGGGGGGGGGGGAGGGGGGACACACACAGGAGCCCTAGGGGAAAGGGACGCACAGGAGACGTCTCCTGAGGCTGCAATGGCCTCGTCCTTTGTAATACACACATTTCATGTACTTTTCTAAACGGGCATTACAGTTTCACAGCTGAAGAACACACACACCCGTCTGTAAAAGGCTTCTAAGCAGGGGAAGATGACCAGATTTGTATTGTTACAAGATCCCTTGGGGGTGGGACGGAAAATTGATCGAAGGTTGGGGCAAAGCTGGAGGCAGAGAAAACCGGAGGTGAAGCGACTGCCCGGTTTGGCGCGAGCTTACAAGGACTGAGCTGAGAAAAGGTGAACGATCAGGGATGTAGGCTCCATCGTCGGTTAAAAACACAAGTAAAGTAAAGCAGAGGCGGGCACGGCCCCCTCGGCTCACTTTCCCCTCTGTGCCCTGCGAGAATCTGGCTCAGGAAGCACAGCCCAGGGTGGTCCCTGCCGAACAGACACACGGGGGCCCCTGACCTCCCTCCCGACTCAGAGGGACTCCGCCGGCCTGGCAGGTGGCGGTTAGAGCACTTATGTCGCGCCAGCACGATACCATCCGAGCAGAGCTGACAGCGGATTTCTGTTCTAACAGGTTACAATGCAATCATAATGTCTGATCCCTAGAGACTGCACAGAGCACTTTTGTCCGTGCCAGAATGTTCGCTCCGCGAAGCAGAGATTTTTACTTTGTTCACCGCCGCATCCTCAGTGCCTAGAACTGGGACATAGTAGGTTCTCAATAAACATTACTGGATGAATGGCTGCATTTGATTATCATTGATGTTTGATCGTCACAGCAGCCCTGTGAGGCAGGGAGGACATGAGTTTCTCTCCCCGCGGGAGAAGCTGGGAAACAGGGGCTTGAGGGGGCATGTCAAACAGGCGCCCCTCGGGTGGGAGACAGAATCACGATTTCATTTCAGGTTTTGTTTTCCCCGCTCTTGCACCGCTGGAGAGCTAAGGTCTGAGAGCTCCACAACCCGGCTGGGAGCATTCCAAATGCACGCCGGGCGCCACCTGCGTCCCGTGTCCTCTGGGCAAGGCCAGCCAGCTCCACGGCATCGGAGCTCCTGGGGGACCCCAACCCCAGGGCCTGGGCTACCTCACGCTCATTCTTCCACGGCCCTCCCCTGTCTCTGCTCTCCATCCTGGCCGTCCACCCTCCAAGCAAAAGGTTAAGGAAGCACTGTCACTGCAAGCACACATGTCCTCATCCTTTTTCTGTCTTAGAAATCAGAAAGCGTGGCAGCAGGTGGCTTGGGGGCTCCAGAAGCGTCTCTCCCGTGAAATCCCACGGGAAGGCCAACAAAAAAGGGTCCCGTGGAAAGTTCATCTCGGTCTCTCTCGCCTTAATGAGCGCTACCCGTTGGAAACACACATGACACCAGACACACCTGGGGAGGCCAGGTGGCCCGTTAATAGGAGTGTTTACATACCTGTGGAATGAGGCATGCCTGCTGGGGATTCCTCGCCAGACTCCAAGAACCAGCAAAGAAAACATGAAAAGCCGTATTTTGGAGAGAGAAGAATGAAAATACACACAACACAGCAGAGAAGCCGAACTCTCAGGTTGCCTTCCTCCCTCCTCTCCTGCGAGGCCCGATGGCCACTGAGCCCCCAGAGCCATGGGGTCCGGGACAGCGGGACCCCCGAGGCAGGGCAGGATCTGTGTGGCTCCCCCGAGGGGGTCCCCCCCAGACTCACCAGAAATTCGCTGGCAAACTCCTCCTTGTGAGTTCCCTTGCTCCGGGCCTCCTCCAGGAAGCCCTGCAGGACCTCCCTCTGGTCCATGCTGCAGGCGAGAGCCGGCGCCGCTGCTCAGGGGAGGGCATGGCCGGCGGGAGTCATGGCCGGGCCGGGCGGGAAGCCGCTGTGCGGCCCCGGCGGAGCGTGTTGAAGGCTGTGGTTTACTGACTTCATCACCAGCCGGAGAGGAAATTAGTACGTAACCAGCCTCTGTGGTCACACAACAAAGCCATCACCTCACTCCCGGGCCCTAGCGCCTTCCTCCTCGGGGAGGGAACCTGGTGGCAACTGGAGTTTTTTAACCAACGAGACGCTCGCCAGAGCCCCCCGCTCAGCCCCGAGACCGACCGGTCCGCCCCATCGCCCTCGGGTGACATGCGCCTTCTCTCCGCTCCGGGGAAAAGGCAGCGTCCACACTGTTCTCCCAGAGATGCTGCCTGTCCCCGCTCCCCGGCGAGCACAGAGGCCCTGCTGACACCTGTTTCTTCACGTCCTGAATGAACTCTGCCAAGTTCTGCTGGGCCCTGCAAGGGAGGCAGGCACTGTGTGGAGCTGAGAGGTTTTTGTTTTTGGGTTTTTTTTACAAGTTTCTCATCAGTGTGATCGATGGCGAATCCTGCTTAACGGAGAAACATCTCTATTCAGAGGTCTGAGGTCTGCCATGTAGCCCTCAGACCCACGCAGCCAGCTGCTCCTGATGCCTGCTGGCCGGGCCTACCCGGGGCTGGGGAAGTGTTGGGATTTCAGGACTCCCACGAGCCTCCAGGACTTTCTGAGCCTCAGTTGAGCTCCGGGTATAAAGACGGAGAATGTCGGCCCATCTAGAGCCCAGGAGCACAGGAAGTTGTCACAACATCCCCCGTATGTAAGGCAGGGAACGGGGAAGGAACAGGAAAAGAGCGAGTCAACCATCTTGCCCGCAACAGCTTGGCTTCCAGGACCAAAAGCCTGAGAACTGTTTCTAGGAAAGACATTGATGTTCTGTGACGTATGCCTGAGGGAAAAAGGCCATTGCCTCTATGTGTGGCACGTGACCCCATCGGACAGGCAGGCTGCTCTAGAGAAACTTCCCACGTCTCAGCTCGTCTCCTCAACGGGCACAAACCTACTCAAGAGCCTCTCGCTGAGCGTGAGAGCAACCCTAAAGCAGCCTATCCCCTGCCTGAGGACAGAAGTTCCACAAATGTGTTAACAAAATTAGTCCGGGCCTAGCTGGTTTGGCTCAGTGGATAGTGTTGGCTTACCGACTAAAGGGTCTGGGTTCGATTCCAGCCAAGGGCACATGCCTGGGTTGCTGGCTGATCCCCAGTAGGAGGTGTGTAGGAGGCAGTCGATCAATGATCCTCTCTCATCATTGATGTTTCTATCTCTCTCTCTCCCTCTCCCTTCCTCTCTGAGATCAATAAAAATATATTTTAAAAAAATGAGTCTGAAATAACCCCGAAGGAAATTCACAAATGTGCTGTCAGGACTTCCTCTAGTTATTAGCAATGCTTTCTGTTTTGCAGCATTATTCACAGTCCCCGTAGGAAATGGTGATTCTGAACGCTATTAGGCTCCATCCACTTTGCTGAGCTTTGTCACAGGAAAGGAATGGTGGCTGAGGAATACTGCTTAGAGATCATGTGACGCCCATAGAGAATTTTAATCCCAACCCACACAATAAATTAAAATGGACCATAATTCTTCAACAGTACTTGTTGAGACTAAGGTAGTATTTCTCAAATTATCCCCTTTAGCATTAAAAGACACTTTCTTGCTGCTCTAAGTAATGCATTGTTTAATTTGGCTATTTTAAAACATATAAAATACTAGTGGCTCAGTGCACAAAATTCATGCACATTAAAAGGGAATTAATTAGAGGAAATATTTTAATATTGCTATTTGCCCTTTATAATAGAAGTGTCAGAGATGAAAGAAAATTAGTAAAATGTATATGAAAAATCTTCCTCCTGTCAGAGTCTGAGGCGAGCCGGGCGAGGGGTATAGCTTAGGTCCCCCATCAAGCTCTGCCAGGTGAGGGATGTGGGCTGAGGTCCCCAGTCAAGCCCTGCTGGTCCTCCACTCCCGCCTCAGGTTCCTGCTGATTGCTCACTAAGGCTCATTATGGGAATTTGGCCTCCACTGTGGATGCAGCCATCTTGTGTTACAGAAATCCCACTTCCACTGTGGGCGCTGCCATCTTATGTTATGGAAACCCCACCTCCACTGTGGGTGCCGCCATCTTTGTGATGGTGTGACAGAGTGAGGATCAATTTACATATCCCCTCTTTATTAGATAGGATGGAGCAATTTTTAAAAATATATATATATATTTTATTGATTTCAGAGAGGAAGGGAGAGGGAGAGAGACCTAGAAACATCAATTATCAAAGAGAATCATCGATCAGCTGCCTCCTGCACACCCCTACTGGGGATCAAGCCCAAAATCTGGGCATGTGCCCTCACTGTGCCCCTCCTGGTTTATGGGTTGATGCTCAACCACTGAGCAACACCAGCCTGGAAATAGAGGGCAATTTTTAAAAGGCCAAAATTTAAAGTTCACAGTAAATGAAACTATGTACATGTTTAAATAAAGATTAAAAGTTGTAAAAAAAAAATCAGTTGTGTAGGTATTGGGATTAAAAATGCTTTTAAAAATTCTTTTTAATACTACATAATTTTTTGAATTAGAAAAACACACACAAAAATCCATTGATTTGTTCAATAAATTTACTGAGTAGCACTAAATGCTGAGCACTACACGAGGGGCTGGGTATACAAGAGTGAACAGCCAGAATACAGTGAAAAAACATGCTTAGAGAGTTAAGAAAACAAAGATGTGGACTTAATTACTGATAAAAAATAAATATATTCCAAAGTAACTTGCTTATTTGCAGAGTAGCAAAGCATAATGCAAAAAGGAAAACGATTTTCTGTATTTGGTCAAAAAAGAGATAACAGTTTCAGAATCTGTTCACTCAGAATGTCTTCCCTTCCATCAAAACCAGAAGTTTGCTATGAATAAACAAGAAGATACCTAATAAAAACTATTTTCCTCAAGCCCATATTTCAGAACAATCTCTAACTTTCTCCTCTTCTTAGGCAGGGATAAAACAGAGATAGGAATAAGCAAGCAAAACGTGTTTAGATGCCCTCCCTAGACTTTCACCCAAAATATTAAGGGACTGAAAACAGGGTCTTAGCAGAACTTCAGATCTTTTTCAAGCAAGCAGCAATTCGTAGGAGTCCGTTCGACTCTACAACCAAAAAGTATAGAAAACCGTGAGATAACCAAACCTCAGAAACCCACTTAGCTAAAAGGCCATTTCCTGAGCAGACCACTCAAGCAAGCAAACACCAGAGTGAAGGAGAGGAGAACAAAGGTGTTTTATCTCGAACGCATCTAAGCTGCTGCTTACTTTTGCACACTTCCTTTTGCAGGTACTGGAGGGCGACAGACGCACGATGCTTCTGGATGAACGTTCTATTGACTCATTTGTGTCTTGTGGGAAGATCAAGAACAGGGAGGGGAAACTATTCATGCAGCAGACTGGCATTTTCCCCCAGAATTTACAGTGAAACATTTAAACCAGGGTGGCACAAGTCCTGAGTGAGCACAACAATTCCACGCAGGAAGAGCTGCGTGGACACCTTGTTGGGACCGTCCGGGGTGAGCGCCGGTGGGAAGTGAGGTTCTGAATGAGCCGCCGAAGGGCGAGGAAGGAACACGCGACTGCTCCCTCCGGTGGCTCTGGCGCCTGCTCAGCAGGAAGCCAACAGCAGAGAGGAGTGCCCATGACACTGCCTCCTGTGCCCACGAGAGGAGAAACAGCCGTGTCACGGAGGCCGGGAGTTGGATGACAACAAAACTTGAACCAAAGAGAATGTCAGGGGAGATCAGGACAAGATAAACGAGTCCATGGGAGTCTGAGAACCTTCTTCTCTCTCGATGACGGTGGTTCTCAACCTTCCTAACGCCTCGACCCTTCAATACAGCTCCTCATGGGGTAGTGACCCCAGCCATAAAGTTATTGTCGTTGCTGCTTCATAACGGTAATTTTGCTGTTGTTACGAATCGTAATGTAAAGATCTGTGTTTTCCGATGGTCTTAGGCTTCACAGCAGCGGTTCTGTAGAGGGGTTCTGTAGAGCCTAGGGCCATCGGAAAACACAGATATTCTGTAGAGCCCTGCCCATCTTCCAATCTGCTCCTCATCTCTGCAGTCTCCTGAGGCTCTCCAAGCGTGTCATTCCAGCTGCTGGCAACTTCAGAGTTTCCCACACACACCACTCAGGGACTCAGAGACTCACACTCTGCCTTTGGTTTCACAAATACAATCCTCAGGAGGCAAAGGTTCAACCAGTAAGTTGCGATAGAAACAATTTACTTTAAAAAAAAAAATAGAGTTTTGAGATACTTGGTGAGGCTTGGTTGGCATCTTATTAAAACTAGAATCAAACGAAGTCTCCTCTTTCTTTTGATGTTCATTCATTCGTTAGGAGTTCCACACGCACGCAAGAGGGGTGCTGCAGAAGTGAAGTGTTCCACAAATCATTTCCAGTCGAGGACCTTGATTCCAGTAGGGAGGATAAGTATAATACACAAATAACTGTAATTTGAGATCATCCGTGGAAAGGCCATGGACGTGGGACAAACAAAATTTTGAGAAGGCCAAGAGCAGTTCTTGTTCAGGTGATCTGGGTAACCTTCGCAGAGGAAATGACAGTTGAGTTGGGTCTTAAAAGGTTTCTGCAGAGCCTGAGAGAAAGCAATTAAAAACACAGGGGACAGTGGGAGGCAGAGAGCATAGTGAGTGGCCGATGCGTGAGCGTATTGTTTATGTGGAGGACTCTGGAATGAGGAGCCTAAAAGGGCAGTTGAGGCCAGAGCCTGGAGGAAATTTGACCCGGGCCGAAAAGTCGTGCTTTATTTGGTGGGTAGTGAGAAATCACGGAAGAATATTTTTTAACAACTTTATTGAGGTATTACTGACATACAATAACCCGTACATTTCAAAATATACAATTTGTTAAATGTTGATGTGTGTATATATACCCATGAAACCATCAGCACAATCAAGATAATAGAACATATCTAATCTAATCAAAAGTTCTGATGAAAGGTTTTAAGAGAATGGCAATCAAAGCAATGCTTTGGGAAAAAGTTTCTTGGTTTTTAAAAAATCTTTATTGTTGAGAATATTACATTTGTCCTGTTTCCCCTCTCCCCCATTGGCCTCATCTAGCCATGCCCCCTCACCCCTCACCCCTCACCCCTCACTTGTATATATATATACAAGTTCTTTGGTTAATCTCTTCTCACCCACCTCCGACTTCCCTCTGAGATTCCTCAGTCTATACCATGTTTCTCTCTCTGGGTCTATGTTGTTCATCAGTTTCCATATATGAGTGAGATCGTGTGATACTTGTCTTTCTTGGACTGACTTATTTTGTTCATCAGTTTCCACATATGAGTGAGATCATGTGATACTTGTCTTTCTTGGACCGACTTATTTGCTTAGCATAATATTCTCCAGGTCCCTCCTGGCTGTCTCAAAGGGTAAGAGATCCTTCTTTCTGATGGCTGCATGAAATTCCATGGTGTAAATGTAACACAGCTTTTTGTCCATTTGTCTACTGATGGGCCCTGGGCTGCTTCCAGATGTTAGCTATATTGTGGTGTTAGGAACATAGGGGTGCATATGTCCTTTCTGACTGGTGTTTCAGGCTTCTTAGGAAATATTTCTAGAAGTGGTATCACTGGGTCAAATAGCAATTCCATTTTTAATTTTTTGAGGAGACTCCACACTGACTTCCATAGTATCAGGCTGCATTCCCACCAGCAGTGTATCAGGGTTCCTTTTTCTCCACATCCTCACCAGCACTTGTTGTTTGTTAAGGTTTTCTGACTTTTTTTTTTTTTTTAAATAAATGCTCCCTTCTGGAAAAGTTTTGAAAGTCTCATAATCTCCCTCAGTGGCATATATAATTTCAAAATGAATTACAGCATATCTAAAAATGGATAGAATCATGGACAAAGGAACCACAGCTTTGGTTGGTCTGGGGGCAGACTGTGTACAGGACAGGCTGAAATGGGACAAGCCTGGGACAGGAGGATTGATGAAAGCTTAGCTACAGGCTTTACCAGTAGCCTAGGCAGGTGGTAATAAACTCTTACAGGAAGAAGCAGAACAAAGTGGAAGGAATATGTGAGAAAGGCCTGTTGGATGAGTAGAGCTGAGGAGAGGGAGAAGGGAAAACTGATGGAGGTGCTGAGCCAGCTGGATGGCAAGCAGGAAGAGTATGGGAGTACGAAGGGTATGCAAAAATAAAGAATGAGAGTTTGCCGTAGCCGGTTTGGCTCAGTGGTAGAGCGTCGGACTGCAGTCTGAAAGGTCCCAGGTTCGATTCGGTCAAAGGCATGTGCATTGGTTGTGAGCACATCCCCGGTAGGGGGTGTGCAAGAGGCAGCTGGTCGATGTTTCTCTCTCATCAACGTTTCTAGCTCTCTATCTCTCTCCCTTCCTCTCTGTAAAAAAATCAATTATATATATATATATATATATATATATATATATATATAAAAGAATGAGAGTTTGTGGATACGGATGTTGGAAAAATTGACCCCTCATTTACCCCTCACAAGAATCCTGTGAATCAGTTAGCAAATCATCTCTATTTTAAATGTGGGAACTAAGGCACAAAGAAATTGGATTACTTACCCAATATCACATGATCAATCTATGGTGAAATTAAATTGTGAAAATCAGACAACCTGAATGCATTCCTTTCTTTTTAAATATATTTTTACTGGTTTCAGAGAGGAGGGGAGAAGGAGAGAGAGATAGAAATAACATCGATGAGAGAGAATCATTGATCAGCTACCTCCTACATACTCTACATTGTGGGGATTGAGCAACCTGGCTATGTGCCAGGCTCAGAAATCAAACCATAACCTCCTGGTTCATAGGTTGATGCTCAACCCCTGTGCCATGGCGGCCGGGCTAATTTAAAAAATATATTTTTATTGATTTCAGAAAAAAGAACATTATGTAAATTTAAGGTATACAATGAAATGATTTGATAATGTATGTATATATAGTGAAATGATCACCACAATAAGGTTAGTTAACACATCCATCACCTTACATAGTTATAATTTTCTTTTTTTTAAAAAACCTTAAAAATCTACTCTCTTAGCAACTTTCAAATATGTAATGGAGTCACCATGCTGTCCATTAGATCCCCAGAACTATTTCATGTCGTAACTGGAAGTTTGTACCTTTTGATCCCCCTTCACGATAGCCCCCAAGCCCCCATCTGCTGCCCCTGGCAACCACCAGTCTGTTCTGGTTTTATATCATTTCATTGAAGTTTCACTTGCTGCAAATTGGTTCAAGTGCACAGACATTAGTCAAAGTGAAAACAATGACTTCGTTTAAGAGGTCAAATACCACAACACTTACCATGTTGAGGTTATAGTAATATAAGGGACAAAAGAATACATCAAGTATCTTCAATTGGAAGGAGGTGGGGGGAAGCTAATATATACTAAAGATTTATACATGAAATCTTATTTCTGGCTTACTAACCTATTGTGATTTATCCAAGAATAGAAGAAATGGCTACTTTGAAAAAGTCAGAATATATTCGCAGGTCTGTGTCTTTATTTCTCTACAGATAGCTGGCTGGCTGGCTGAAGAGAGGGGATGTGGTTAACTCTGTAAACTTTAGCCAAAGACATTAGCACCTCTTTAAAAATAGATACAGCAGTGTTTTTCTTCCTGAACTAATCTGGTTGCACAGCTTTGGATGAAGGAGTCTAAGTACTTGATGACTGCCTGCTAATCTATGAGCTTATTAAGGACTATTCTGAGATATAGACCATAGAAACCAAATGCTTTGCTTCCAACTACCTCCATGCACTTGTGCTGGGGCCATGGGAATGTATACCCTCTCCAGAGTCTCAAAATGCTCTAATTTGCTAAAAGTCCTGGAGAAAGTGTAGACAATGTAAGAATTAACATGCTCAAATTAAATCCGGGGGGGGGGGGGAGTTATTCTAGCTGCACTTGTGTTTGCCAGGAATTATCACGATGCAACAGGGTTTAAATTACTTCAATGATAAATGTTCATTTAGCTTCACAGCAGAGGTCTGCAAACATAAATGGCCAAGAATAAATATTTTAAGCTTTCAGGGGCCATAGGGTGTCTGCCATAACTACTCAATTCTGCCATAGCCATGGGGAAATAGTCATAGATGGTACGTAAACAAGTAAGTGAGTGTGGCTACCTTTCAATAAAACTTTATATAAAAAAAAAAAAAAAAGCAGCGGGCTGGATGGGCCTGTGGGCTTCAATTTGCCAACCGTAGCTCTAAAGTGACAGTTCTCAAGTTCGATCTGTACATCAAATCACCCGGAGAGCTGGTTAAATGTAGGACCTCAGACTCTGACCCTCGCCGCCGGGGTGGGACCTGGACACCAGCAATGGGTAAGGTCCACAGTGGCGTGTGCCCCCCTCTGAAGTCACTGTGGCATGCCGCCAGCTTCCTCTAAGGCACGATGGCCCTCCTGTCCTGATGTGGCCAGCGCTTCCTGCACGTTCTGTGGCAGAAAAACATCAGCAACGTTTTCATCTTTCTTTGACCTTTCTAATAGAAGGGCAACCTTCTCGTTTCACTTCCAACCTTGAAAAATGCATAAAATAATTCTGCTCGGATCAAATTAACATGAAACTGAGACTGTGAATTTAAAAGAAAATCTTCACTTAAAGTAACAAGATTTCCCAACCCCAAGTCTCTCGTGGCTGCAAAATCAGTAGAGAAGATTCTCACCGAAGACAGAGCTCAATCTGAAGGAAGAGTTTGCTGTGTGCTCCCTCCAACCCAAACTATAATAGCTCCCGCGAATGCCTGCCCTGGCATTCCACTGCCAACAAGGCACTGCTTTGTGCTGGAGATCTTTGCTTCAACAGAACCTCATTAAAACTCACAGCAAAACAGAAAGTACAAAATCTCTGTGGACCTCTCAAAGCTGCTCCCAGCTTTATCAATAGAAAATAAATGATCCAGCCGAGACCGGTTTGGCTCAGTGGATAGAGCGTCGGCCTGCAGACTGAAAGGTCCCAGGTTAGATTCCGGTCAAGGGCATGTACCTTGGTTGCGGGCACATCCCCCGGGGGGTGGTGTGCAAGAGGCAGCTGATGGATGATTCTCTCACATCGATGTTTCTAACTCTCTATCCCTCTCTCTTCCTCTCTGTAAAAAAAAAAATCAATAAAATAAAATCAATAAAATATATTTTAAAAAAAGAAAAAGAAAAGAGCAAATTTGCATTATTTTTTTAAAAAAAGAAAGAAAATAAATGATTCAACTAAGTTCAGTTCTGTCCAAAAATGGTTTTTTATTTGGTTGTTTCCGTTTAATTGCCAGAAATCAGTCACCTGATCAGTCAAAGAGGAAGGGGTACTCGGGCCGGGAAAGAGCTCTGCCTCTTCCTCAGCTCTCCAGATTTTCCTAGAAGAACAGGAATGGCCGACAGTCAGAGGGATGCTGGTCAGGAACTTCCTGAGGAACTCCGGAGCGGTCTGCAGGTCCCACCAGGGAAGGCAGCGCTTGCTGGGACCCTGGCGGGGAAGGGAGGTGCTCTCTGAGAGCAGATGGTCTGAGGACCGAGCCTGGGCTTAGGACACCTCGTGTGGTTATCACCACAGCAGACACCACTCACTCACCAGCCAACAAAGGGAAGCCAGGCTAAGATTAGAACTCAATCCGTATACTTTATAGATGGGTAAGGAGTGGAAATCTGCTTTAGAGTGTTAGCAGTCAATTTTTTTTAGGCAGTGTGACTCTGGAGTCCAACCTCCACAGGCTGAGCTTCTGAATGCTCCCCTTTTCCATGGGGGAAAAAAAAAAAAAGCAATCCTGACATTTTAGAGCCATTTTTCTGCTTGGTTTCCAACTTACAGAAAGAATCATAAACTGGAGTCCCGGATGTTAGTTGCAAATGGCTAGCAAAGCCGGGGGCCCCAACGTACTTACCCAACCTCCCTGGCCCCGGATGAACTCCTGGACAGCGCTATTCCCATTGATCATATCGGTGATGGAGGCTGCCACCTGTCTTGCCCTTTCTGGAGCTAGCTGGACCACGCGTTCAAGCAGCTTAAATGATACCGCCACAAAGGCTGTCTCATAAGCTAAGCTGGCATTCTGAGCACACCAGGCCTTGCTGAGAGATTTCACCGTGTTCGGAAGGACAGCTCCTAACTGGGGAGAAACATAGATATATCAGTGGAGTTTCCCTAAAAAGTGCAGGAGGCTGCAGGTACAGAATCTACTAAGCAAGTGTTGCCCAGAGTGTGGCCAATGTCCACTCGTTGTATCTAAGGTAATGTTAGGGAGTAAATGGACAGGCTTTTCTCATTTTAATGTTTTATTTATTGTAATAACTATCAGAAAAACCAGAAGTAACCCATCAGATCCATGATTTCAGATATTATTGCCTAGGATGAACCAAATGATTGAGAGACAAAATGCTTTGAAAGAAAATTATTAAGTACATGACAGTATAGCTAGTTATCTTACTTGAACGACTGAAGTCTGGGAAGTTATAAAGTAAAAAAAAAAGATTAGCCTTCCCAAAAAAATTTGGTCTAAAAGCCATTTGGTCCCAAAATTTGGCCTAGCTGGTTCGGCTCAATAGATAGAGTGTTGGCCTATGGACTGAAGGGTCCCGGGTTTGACTCTTGTCAAGGGCATGTACCTTGGTTGCAGGTTCCGGTGAGTGCAGGAGGCAACCAATAGATGTGTCTTTCTCACATCGATATTTCTCTCTGTCTCTCCCGCCCTTCCACTTTCCAAGAAATTAAGGAGGTACTCAGAAAATAACAGGGATATGCCAAAAAGAAATAGTCCAGGTTGAAAGGACTTCACTGGCCAGAGCTGGGTAAGGCTTTGAGCATTCAAATAAACAATGACAGTAACAGATTATAACGCATTGAATAAAGTAGGAATTCAATAAAAGAAAAAAAACATAAATCTATGTTGCTGTAAAATATAAATTAATGATTGAAATTTTGATGAGATATGGAATTTTTTACATGGTTTCAAAGTTCCTCCCTATAAAACAATTAGTTACAAAGGTGAAAAGAGTAACTTTATGGTGGAGAAGCCTTGCAGACACCATTGAGAGTGATCCAATTTACCACCAGTAATGGGACCAACAGAAACCAGTGCCACTTAAGAAAATAACACTTTTATGATTTTCCAAAGGTACATACCCTAAATCTATTCAAGAGAAACATCCATCACACTCAAGTTAAGGGACAGTCTACAAAATAAATGAGCCATAATCTTCAATGTCAAGTCATGAAAACCAGTGAAAGACTAAGAAGCTCTTACAGAATGAAGAAGACTAAAAGGATATTAACAACTTAATGCAATATCTGTGAATCTGGCCTACATCTTTCTGCTATTAATGACATCATTGGGACAATTGGAAAAATTTGAATAGGATCTTAGGATGAGATGAAAATGTGTCAAAGATAACTCCCTGGTTTTGATGGTTAGATTGTGATTATATTAGAGAATGCCCTTGCTTCAAGGAAATATAAAAGGATTAGGGGGTGATGGAATACCATGTTGGTTATTTACTCTCAAATGACTTAAGAGAGAAATTCTTTGTATAACACAAGCAACATTTCTGGGGTTTGAGGCTGTTTCAAAATAATTTTAAGCCCTAGCCAGCTTGGCTCAGTGGATAGAGCATCAGCCTGCGGACTGAAGGGACACAGGTTCGATTCCAGCCAAGGGCATATGCCTGGGTTACAGACTTGATCCCCAGCGGCAGCCCATCAATGATTTTCTCTCATCATTGATGTTTCTATCTCTCTCTTCTTCTCTCTTCCTCTCTGAAATCAATAAAGAAATACATTTTAAAAAATAATCTTAAAATTAAAAATAGATTCAGTTCTCAGCTACTGAGGAAAGCATCAGTGTGAGCAACTAGGAATAGTAAGGCTAGTCCTGCCTGGATGTATAGTGGGTATACTACCTATACTATATTTATTATTTTTTTTATTTATTTAAAAAATATATTTTATTGATTTTTTACAGAGAGGAAGGGAGAGAGATAGAAAGTCAGAAACATTGATGAGAGAGAGTCATTGACCAGCTGCCTCTTGCACACCCACTACGGGAGATATGCCAGCAATCAAGGTACATACCCTTGACCAGAATCAAACCTGGGACCCTTCAGTCCCCAAGCTGACGGCTCTATCCATTGAGCCAACCCAGTTTCGGCTACCTATACTATATTTAGTAGGAAGAATAAAGCATAATGGTTTTGGAATCAGTCTGGGTTCAAATCCTAACTTCAATAACTATTGCTTAGGGATATAAAGTACAGCATAGGGAATATAGCCAAAAATATTGTAATGACCATATATGGTGCCAGGTGGGTGGTGGAAACACCAAGGGGAACATTTTGTAAAGTATGTAATTGTCTAACCACCATGCTATGTATACTGTAATGGAAAAATAAATGTTAAAAAAGAAAAGAAAAAAAGAAGCTACTTATTCTATAACCCAATTAGTTTTTTCCCTAGTTCTCAGTTCCCTTTCTGCTTAAATGGGTATCAAGCCAGAAAATACTTTCTGGAGACATCTCATGTATCAGGCACTGTTCTATTAATAGACTGTGTGAATACTGCCCTGAACAATATGGGTTAGGTGTCCGCCCTCACAATGTCACATGCAGACGGGGAGAGGTTGTGCTTTGAACAACAGTTTCTATTATATAATGCCTCATAAAGTGATGTAAGGCTTAAATCAGATAATAAGTGTAAAGCATTTGCAAAATCCCCTGATACGTGGTAAGTGAAGAAATCATATTAACCATCACTATTGATATTAATCAACAACATTACAGAATATTGTAATATTCAACACAGAGCCCAAGTGCTTCTGAAGTAAAGAGCATTCTGTTGAAGAATACACTATATTGGGCTCCTGTACCACTATCCCTCATTGCCTCAAACTTGTCCACATCCTGTCCTTCCTAATGCAATGTCATGCTGCGGAAAACGGTGCCCACACCCAAAAAAAGAAGCATTAAAGCAGATGCATAAAAGAATAAAGTGCTTAATATATGCTCTATGCCACCAAGCTCAGCTCTGACAAAAAAGCAAATGTTAGCGATGTGAAGGCTGACCAACCTACGCCCATTTTCATCTCAATACCACTCAGCCTTTGCTTGACTCCTAAAGAATCGGCCATCGGAGAATTCCTGCTGTGTCTTCCTGGATAAATAGAAGTCCCCAAATCTTTCCCAGAACACTTCCGGTCACCCCGCTAGAGGAGTGGTAAGAAAAGGGCGTCTGAAGTAGGAAAAAGCAGCAAACAGAAGGCAGTGGAAAGCTGACCTGTCCCCGAACGGATTCTGCGATGACACTTCTGGCTGGCGCTTCCAGCTCCTCGTTGAACTTGTCCCCCAACATCCGAAGGCGACCGGCAATGATGGCCACGTCAAAGGAGCTGCCCTCTCCTAGAACAGAGGGTCCCGTCACATCTGTCACAGTGTTTGAGGGGAGGGCGGGTCCCAGGAACCTGAGCATGATAGAAAGGTCTCGAGAATTTTAAACCATCTGGGCATCATTTTCTCCCAAGAACATCTTGGGTGTTCTGTCCACATCAATAGTCAGAAAATCTCCCTTTGAGGGAGATCTGGGGGAGATAAAGAGATCAACCCAAGGACTTGTGTACATGCATATAGGTACAACCGGTGGACACAGAACTCTGGGGAGGGTGGGTATGTATGGGAGGGGGGGGGGGGGCAATGGTAAAATATGTACACAGATAATAATTTAATAAAAATAAAATAAAATAAAATAAAATAAATAATAATAAAAGAAAGTCTCCCTTTACTGAGAATCCATTTCCTGTCCATAAAGATGCAGGTATTGCCCAGCCTGCTGGCTCAGTGGTTGAGCGCTGACCTATGAACCAGGAGGTCACAGTTCGATTTCCAGTCAGGGCACAGGCCTGGGTTGCAGGCTTGGTCCCCAGTAGGAGGTGTGCAGGAGGCAGCTGATCCATGATTCTCTCTCATCATTGATGTTTATCTCTCTCTCCCTCTCCCTCCCGCTCTGAAATCAATAAAAATATATTAACAAAAATAAAGATGCACGTATTGCTGAAAGCTAATAAGAAAGCATACCTCCATTCTCCTGCAATCACCACCGCACACCAGGAGCCTTACCTGAATCTGTTTCGAGTTCGCCTCCTTCATCATGTAGGTCCCGGGGAGCCACCAGCAAAGGTAGGCCTAATAAATCTCTGAGTAGAAAGTCCACAATGCATTCTGTTTGCTCCTCAAAAGTTTTGGGAGTCTTCATTTTAGATATTTGCTGCCAAGTTTTGCTTTTCCACCAAACAAGCAATTTTCAGTTCAGCGGGAAGTCAGACACACTGGTAAACGAGCAGTTGTGTCTACCTCTTGTAAAGTTCCCTAGTGGGACACAGAATTCTTAGAGCCTTTCCCACCACTTGCTTCAAAAACAGGTGCTCAGCTGAGTGGGACTGCTCTGAAGAGCTGACCATCCAGAACTGGAGATTTGCTGAAGACTTTCAGTTCCTTTTCTCGGAACCACACCCTCAGCAGTATATCTCAGATTAATGAATAACTACAGTGAGGTTGCCAATTTTGCACTGAGATACAGTTGAGGAAGAGCCTCTTGTGGCATTTCATTAAGAAATACTTCCTTTATGGGTCTTAACGAAGAAAGGTTTTGAAGCTTAACAGACAAGCATTCAACTCCTGACGATCACAATTATTTGCCACAGTCATACAGTGATCATTTACTGAGGAGCAATGTGTAAGGAACTATTCTTGGCACTATGAAATAACACAGAAAAATGACAACGTCTGCATCCTCATGGAGCTAAAGTGTACTTTAGCATGAGTGACAGATGTTAAGTAAGTAATCACATAATTGCTGTGCTTATTGAAATTCAGTGTGTTATCTTATATAATAAAAGGCTGCCGAAACCGGTTTGGCTCAGTGGATAGAGCGTCGGCCTGCGGACTGAAAGGTCCCAGGTTCAATTCCTGTCAAGGGCATGTACATGGGTTGCGGGCACATCCACGGTAAGGGGTGTGCAAGAGGCAGCTGGTCGATGCTTCTCTCTCATCGAAGTTTCTACCTCTTTAGCTCTCTTCTCTCTGTAAAAAATAAATTAATTAATTTTTTAAAAGAAGGCTAATATGCAAATTGTTCCCTCCCCGAGGAGTTCAACCGGGAGTTCAACCAGGGGGCAGAGCTGGCCAGCCAACTGCCCCGGCCTCTCCCCGCAGCCAGCCCAGCCCAATTGGCCCTGATTGGGCCAGGCCACCTGGACGCCACCTGTGCAGGAATTCGTGCACCAAACCTCTAGTTAGTGTATAAACGGGAAACAAACCTAAGGGGTTAGGAAAGCTTCCTTGAAGTAGTAACATCTGAGATGAGCTCTGAAGGACAAATAGTATTCATTTTAAACACACACACAACCGTGGGCACTTGAGGCATTGTAAATGGAGATGATGCAAAGTATTTCATGAGGATTAATTAAGATAATGTTATGTGGAATGACCCAGCAGGGTCTGACAGGAGTACACATTAAATGTCCTCCTTTCAGCCCCAGGCCCAATGACCAGGATGAAAGGGATCTGGGACTTACTCTTTAACAGGATTAGGTAGTATGTTCCTAAAAGGGTTAGATGCCCCCACTGTTTCACAAGGTCTCAGGATTGGACACTTGCCCACAGCGGCTTTCTTCTTAAGGCAGCAACGCCTAGATATTGATTTGGATTTCAGAAGCAGCACGGAAACCCATCAGCATTTCCGGGGTATTCTGACCTGGTGAACTAATAAGAGATTCAAGCATAAACAGCCGTTGCTCAGAATGGAGTTTCTGTCTTGCAAAATAATCAGAGCCAGTCTTCTGTCTTCTATTTCATTCTATAAAAACAAATTATTCTATACTGCTTTGCACTAGGAACGGGAATTAGGTAGCTAAAGAGCCTTTTCCCTTGTCATTATCTATCTCCAAGGTTGAAATGTCAGTTACTACTAAGTAGGCTTCAGACTTCTGGGGTCAGAAGGTCCCTCACAGATAATTTGAGATCTTGCTCCCAGCATATGTCATCAATTTGGCTCAAATAAACTCTTATTTAAAAAAAAAAAAAGAAGAAAAAAAAAAGAATGTCCCTCAGAGATAATTCTAGGGCAATCTTATTTCATAAACAATCTAAGGATTCCAACACATACATTTACAACCTACTTTTAAAATAATATACAAAAAAAATGATGTGTAAAATAGCTTGCCTAAGGTAAGTGTCAGAATAGAAATTTAAAACCAAGTCTCAAATAGTAAATCTTTTTCCACCTTCCTCATTTCACTACTGATATGCCATTTGTGGTCTCTAATTCTATATAATAAAAGGCTAATATGAAAATTGTCCCCTTGACGGGAGTTTGACCAGGGGCTGGGCAACCACCTGTGGCCCCTCCCGCCAGCTGGCCCTGCCCCTGATTGGTCCCCTTACACCAATCGGGCCAGCTGGACCCCACCCATGCACGAATTTGTGCACCAGGCTTCTAGAATTCTACAATCGATGTTATGGGCTATACAAGCAGAGTGTACACTCTCCTGGGCAATGTGGAGTCAATCTTCTTTTTTTAATTTCTCTTTGGGCCGCTCCCTAAGCCCAGCCCACATACTCTTTACTCTTGCATTTCTAATACTGGACTCCTAATACTGAAAAATGAAGCTATATATATATTTTTTTCGCTATCACTTCTTTTTTTTTTGCCACTCTGACCACAATTTACATCCTTCTTTCTCCCAAAAGCCTCTTCTCGTATATCATTTCATTGGCTCTAAGTCCAGGATCCTGTTATGTGCACATAGCAGGTCCACACATGGATTATAATCCCTGGATACAATTCCTCACAAGGTGGAAACCTATAATGAAGAAAATAAGTTATTTGTCTTCCCCAAACACCCAATATATGAGCAAGAGATAGAAAAAGTGCAACAGAACTCCCATTCAAAAGGGAGGGCAGAGTGGAGGCACATAACAACCACTGACCCATAGCAATAAAATCGTGGTCAGAAACTGTGCCGATTGCCTCTGCCATGTCCCAAAGCGGCACTGTCATTACATGTGTTACATTCTATTTAACAACCAAGACAGCCGAAACCGGTCTGGCTCAGTGGATAGAGCGTCGGTTTGCGGACTGAAAGGTCCTGGGTTTGATTCCGGTCAAGGGCATGTACCTTGGTTGCAGGCACATCCCCAGTAGGGGGTGTGCAGGAGGCAGCTGATTGACAATTTTCTCTCATAGATGTTTCTAACTCTCTATCCCTCTCTCTTCCTCTCTGTAAAAAAATCAATAAAATATATATATTTTTTTAAAAAAATAACAACCAAGACAGACATTTGAAGGCCATTTTTCTAAAAAGTACAGTATCAACTACCCCCTCTACTTTTTAAAAATAAACATCTAACATATCATCAAACCGTATGTCTGCAGAGGCTCCTGGGGGAAGAAATATTAAGTAACTACATGACATGCACGGTGCAGTGATTTTGCTTATAAATTAGTAACACCAGGCTACAGTTCCACCAGCTCTTCATTGAGATCATTTTAAAATTACACTTTTCAAAAGCAACAGTTTCTGTCGCTTAAGGGGCATTCTGCTATGCCCCTTACACAATGGAAAGGCAACCAATAGTTGGGATTCCTTCAGTAATATTTATTCAATTGCTGAGCCATACCTGATTTTCTTTTTCTTTTTTTTTTTTAAATCTTTATTGTTGAGAGTATTACAGATGTCCTCCCCACGCCCAGTTCCCACTCTACCCAGGGCTTCACCAGCCTACTGTCTGTGTCCACCGATCAGATCTTTGGTTAATCTCTTCCCGTCCCCTCCTCCCCCTTCCCTCTGAGATTCGTCAGTCTGTTCCCTGCTTCCGTGCCCTGATTCTGTTTTACTCACCAGCTTATTTTGTTCATTAGATTTCTTGTTTGCTTATTTTGATTTTTAGATTCCATTGTTGATAGATATGTATTTGTTGCCATTTTATTCCTCATATTTTTAATCTTTTCCTCCTCCTTCTTCCTCTTCCTCCTTCTTCAATAATATCCTTCAACACTTCATATAGTACTAGTTTGGTGGTGGTGAACTCCTTTAGCTTCCCACTGGCGCCGCACGTGGTTACTGAGATGTTTCCTGTCGCTCTTGGGACGTGCTCTCATCAGTTCACCCCATCGCAGGCTGGAATGCAGCTCCCAAAAGTGAAAGGGGGCTCATCGGAAGCTCTGGGGCACCCACATGTGTGCGTGTGCATGTGTGCGTGTGCGTGCGTGCGTGTGTGCGTGCGTGTGTTTACGTTGGGGGAGAGGGTCTCTGGTTCTTGGTTGCCAGTGTCCAGGTCTGCAGTGTGGAGACCGTGGATGTGACGTTGGATTGTGATGTGCTTGAGTTTAGTTCTGGGGATCGCTGAGCATAATTTCCGCCTGGTCCCAAATGCCCACCAGCACGCACTGTGGGGTGGGGGGTAGGGACTTCGCCTTGTATCTCAGAGAATCCCTTTTATTATTTTATTTGTATTTGGGGCGGTAAGGACTGAAGGAAATTTGACTGGTTGAGGCATTGATTCATTTATTGATTCAGTATTTAATGGGGTTGTCCCCGAAGCACTGTTCTGAGACCAGGCCTGGTTGATGGGCAGGAACAGCCATACAAGAGTGGATTTTGCTCCTGAATGCTCAGGAGGTCCATAGAATGAGTCCTCTTATGCCTTTTGAAAAACTAGTTGGAATAGATTTTGCCAAAGGTAAGAAAACGGCAAAGCAGAATGACCATTTTTTTACATTGGCAAGTGCATGGATTTTTGGTACAGATGTTTTTCTACACGTTAGCAAGCCATTCATTGCTGCCAATGAAACCAGTTTAATGAATTTAGGCCTTTTCAATGTCCATAGCCTGGCACGACCGCATCACGGCACGTGGTGCTGCGGGGCTGTTAGTGGGCCCTGCTAACAGAACAGGGCAGCCGGGGGACACCTGCCCCTCCCAGCCCTCCAGACCTTCTGTGGGCCCGCCGCCTCCTCCACCAGCCCCTTCCTGATTATAGTGATGGGGGCGGGGGGAGGGGGTAGTTACCTCTACCTCTCTCCTTCCTTCTCACACCTCCCCTCCCACAGGCCGCACCTCCCCCTCTCCCTGGTGCCCAGCACTCATCCCATCCCATTTCTCAGGCGAGTGGGAGTTGAGTAGGTCTGGGATGGTCAGGGAAGAAAGTCAGAGGTGTAGGTTACTGGCGCTTTTCCCAAGTCCAGACTGTGTC